GCGTGCCATTTGGGATCAAGCTGTCAGAGGCATGCCTCGGAGCTACGGTGGCAAAGCTTTCCAGGATTGACAGATGTGCTCAACCAGAGGTCTGTCTTGCGTCAGGGTTTCTGACTTGCGCACTCATACACATGTTATGCATCACACGTGCACTCATGCATGCGCGCTTGCGCGTCCTTGCTCGGCTGCGCCCCATCCTAGTAACTGCCCTCGATGCAATTACAACCCACCATCAGACTGCCGCCGCACTTGTTTGACTTTAGACTCGGTGAGGTTCCTGCTGCTGTTCCTCATGCTGTATGTCTTCGGGGTCGTTGGTCTCGAGTTGATTGCAACAAACTCAGATTTCAAGAATGACCCTGAAGAGCCTTGGATCAAGCATGGCTGTGGCTTGTGTTGTAGTGCATCGGAGCTGGGCAAGTACCGTGTTTGCTCTTCTCCCTTACCTCTCCACTGCTTGTGTTTTGGCCATTGCTCCCGAGCCATTGGAAGAACTGAGGCAAACTTCGTGATTCAGACCCACTTCAGCTCGCTGGGCATGTCCATGATTACCGTCTCCCAGTTTATCACCATGGACAATATCTCGCAGATCTATGCTCCTCTGATCGCCATACAGCCTCTGGTCTTCATCTATTTCGGAGCCCTCATTGCCGTCATCTCGATCTCCGTGATGAACTTGGTCACTGCCTCCTTAGTTGAAGCTTCGCTGGAGCACGCAAAGACCCTGCGCAAGGAGGATGAGATGTTGAGGCACAGATGCTTGAGCATTGGGGCGTAAGGTTTTATCGTGGCCCGCATTGTGCTTGTTCTGCTGCGGGTGTGCACTGACAAGTGCGAGTGAGTACTTGACTGCTTAACTCTGCCTGAATAGCCTGCACATACGCAGCTCTCTACATTAGCTTCCTTGCTGGCAGGGTCACCGGGTGGGGTACCAATTACCATGCCGGCCTTATACTTACACAGGGTACCCCAAAAGGAACAGCAGTTTACAACTTCCCCGCCCCCATATTGCAAAGAGGAAGAAGTATTCCATCGAGGGGAATCATGGCATGAATATGAGAAATGTGGTTCTAAACTAGCGCACCTTCAAGACACTAAGCTACCACGAAGCACTCAGAAAAGCGCAAGTGCGCAACAGTGCAAAACGCAGAGAACTTGCCCAAGGAAGGGACCCAAGGTGCTGGAGCAGGAGTTCTAGAACTGTCGAGTATATGATTGGTTATAACCCGATAATTTCTTAAAAGGTTCATTCCCCCAAGCTAGCACTCCGACAGTCCAGTCCGCAAAACGGCCGGGTGTTCGCGTTGGATGGCTTTCTGTGGTTTAAGGGTGTAGGGTTTAGGGTAATCTCGTGTGGCTTGCGGAGGTCATGTAGGTATATGATGGTATATGCGAATATGCGCGAGTGCAGACTTTCGTCGACTAGGAGAACTTGTAAGGGACTCCGGCGCCTGCATGACAGCCTCTGAAGGAAAGGAACCTGAAATTCAGGTTCGGGGTGTAGGGTTTAGGTTTTAGGGTTTAGGGTTTAGTAATTTAGGGTTTAGGTTTTAGGGTTTAGGGTTTAGTAATTTAGGGTTTAGGGTTTAGGTTTAGGGCACCTAGTCCCATCTGATGCTCAGAGCCTGGGTTCAAAAATAGGGCACCCACCCCCCTCCCCACCCCGCAACATCGAAGTAAGCTCGTGTTAGGACCCTTGAGTTGGGAGTCCGAGGCTACTACCTGCTGGACCCCAAGCCTGACAGATTCCACTGCTATGCTGCGTGTAACCCTATGTATGTCTGCTTCACCTGCAGCCCTCACCGGAATGATCCTGAGAACCAAGCGTCTTCAATGAGGCTTCAAACTGCGAAGCGTTTTAGTAGCGGATGTGTCGAAGAAGTCAACACCTCTTCAAAGCTGATTGCTATTTCTCCCGCAGGATATGTACTCCACAGTCTAGGAGTTGTCTGAAGATTGGGAGCTCCATGATTAACAGCAAGTTGCGGCAACCCTCACCCAAACTTGCCCCTAACCCCATAAACCACCCCTAAATCCAAAAAAGTGGAGCATCCTCTGGAGAGCTCAATAGATCACAGGCTTTGGTGCACATCCTGGATGTTGACAGACTGGCTGGGGGGGTACTCTTAACGGACCACCCGAACCCTGTAGGTCTCACATTTTAAGGCTTAAAAAAGGGCAGCAGCCGAGTCCCTTGTGAAGAAGGTTTTAGAAAGGTTTTAGGGTTTAACCCTAAACCCTAAACCCTAAGCCCTAAACCCTAAACCCTAAACCCTAAACCCTAAACCCTGAACCCTAGACTGGTAAAATCCCTCGCAGCAACAGGAACGCCAACATGAAAGAGATGCTGCCCGAGCTCGAGGCCGTTTTCGACTTAGCAGATGCCGATGGCAGTGGGGAGATCGCCATTGAGGAGACTTTCGGGCCTCTAAACCCCAAACCCAAAACCCTTGAAACCCTAAACCCTTGAAACCCTAATCGGTAAACCCTCATCCCTCAAGGGTATGGCATGTGCAGCACCAAAGTCGGCCGAGGCAACTGAATCTCCCAAGTACTGTAAGGCACCTAATTTCGGAGGTTTAGGGTCTAGGGTTTAGGGTAAGAACTGTAAGCTTTGTGTACTGCAAGCAGGCTGATCTCAATGCTTTGGATAGCTACCACTAAACTCAACCAAACGGAATGTACAGCACAATCGCGAACATCGGAACTTGGAGGTTTCCCGTTTAAAGGCACCTTGCACCAGGAGATGCGGGAGTTCGAGAGGCGTGCGCATGTCCCCGACCACTTTTTGGACCACGCATCGGTGGGCAGCATGACGGAGCTGTTTTCCGTTTTGGATGCTTGGCTCATGATATAAGTGGGTATGAGAGGGGTTTGGGGTTTAGGGTGTAGGGCTTAGAGTGTAGGGTTGGGGTATGAAGGGGGTATTCAACTAGGGGGGCTTGTGGTGACATTCCTAGTTTAGGGCATGGAGCTCTTTGAGCCGTTAGCTGTCAAGCCGAGAGCAGTGAAGGACGTCGACAAATCGGGTGTGGTGACGCGAGAGGAGTTCATCGATGGCCTTTTAGAAATCATGCTTCAGGACGTGTCCCTGTCTTCTCTTCAGCAGCTGAAGCTGGGCCTGTACTCTGGGAGGGATGCTGTTTGAATCTGTGAGTGAAAGCTAGGGGTTTCAAGAACAACTCAGGAAGATGCTACGGTTGATGAAGGAATCGATTGCCGAGCTAGACAGCACCGTCGATCAATTGGGACACGTTTCCTTCCCTTCGGTCTAGGCACTGGCGGAAGCCCTTGTGTCAACTTTAGGCCATCTAAGCACCCCTAACTCTAAACCACCCGAGAGACCCTGAACCCCAAACCCGAAACCCCAAACCCTAAACCCCAAACCCTAAACCTCTGGCTTCTTGGCCTGCCCAGGCAAGTTGACGCGTCTTGGTGGCATGGCGATGCAGTCGGACACCCTTTGAGATTCGCTCTCAGGCTTGCCCTAAGGGCAAGCGTTCTCACCCATTTCCCCTGGTGCTTAGCAGGGAATGAGGGAATGAGGGCCCAATATATATTTATATATATATATATATGTACATATACCCTTTAAGGGATTCTAGAGGGTACCTCATTCCCTCCTTCCCTACTACTAAGAACCAGCCAGCAAATTCGTAGTTGCAGAACTCGCGCTGGTCCATTCAGCTCCCGCAAAATGGTAAGCCCCTCCAGATCCTTCAAGACAGGTTGGCACTTTGACAGAACGTCAGGAACTTCGTGCCTGCTGTTGGTGTCTTCTCCCTCGGTCACACTTGCGCACCTGTCATGGCTCGAATTCCTCACCGCCGCAGCTGTGACTATTGGCCTTGTTGGGGAGCTTTCAACCTCAGCAGCCCAGGCCAGTGCCGTGTTGACTACGGTTGCAGGTCCACGCTGCACATTTGCATGGCATTGTCTACGGCCGAACAGTCTCGAACCCTTCACATCTCTACTGGCAGGACGTGAGAAGTTGTTTCCCTGTGTTTCCTCGACATATGTCTGTCTGACCGTGACGCGTGTCAAGACCATGGGTCTAATGGGGCCGCATAGTAGGGTCGCATAGTCGCTGCCTTAAACCCTTCGCTCCACCCTCACCTGATGTCTCTGGCCCCTTCCAGAAAAACCTCGTAGCCAGGCAGGTGCCCTGCAAATGGCCTGGATGAGGCGGGAATTGCGGCTGCAGAAGGCCAGAGCCGTACAAAAGCTTGCAGCCTACGAAGGTGTTTGGTTAAGGGAAATGCCTGACCGCGACTCCGAGCGCTTGAGGGGTGTAAGAACTCAGGATAATACTCGCCGTGCCCTATGCACAAACCTGCAACGAATACATAAGCTTCCCACAAATGGCCTCAGCCCTTCGCCTAGCTTCATGTGGATGTGGTGGAGGCTCAGCCGGCCTTGGAGCAAGAGGCTCAGGCCAGGAAGCGTAGAGCGGTTTGCATGTTGGGTGCTTGCATATACCGGCATTTTCGGGTGCAGAGCCTGGGCTTCACAAGGTCTCTTGGGTAGGTGTTGCATGTCGCAGGGTTTGCAGCGGAGTTCCCATGCGGACAGGAAGATGTGGCAGGACCGTCCTGTCTGAGAGCCATGAGCAAGTGGGAGCCTGCATTTTGCGGAGACGAAAAGTGGAAGTTGGCTGGTTTGCTCCTTTAAAAGGTCAAGGCCTGCATGCCACTCTCATCTTCTGGAGCGCACGACATCCGCCTGCGACGCGTTTGTAAAATCCATTACTGTAGGCAATACTGTATGTTCACATCCACCGTTGTATTTGGGGCACATATTTGGGCTCATAGTAGGAGCTCCCATCTGCGGGGTTCCCAGCATGACGTAGTCTGCAACCTTCGAAGGGCCCCCCACGGGCTGAGGGTTTGAACGTGGAAACCGGCATTATGGCAACATCTTGCCAGAAAGAGTAGCCCACCAGCTGCAATTGCCGATCCGTTCTTATAGTCTTTGCATTGCCACCGCCAGAGCCCGGAGCAATGCGGGCCTTGGCCTTGGCCTTGGCTCTCGCCGTGCTGCTGGCCTCTGGCCGCAGGGACCGCGATCTGCCCGCAGCGTTGTGGACGGACGTCAAAGATGCGGGTAAAGAGGGAGCCGCGGGAGCTGCATTTATAGGCAATAAGCAGCAAGCATCAGCATTCGACAGCATTATGTAGGGCACTCATATGGGCACTTCAAGGCGTCTTCAGCGTCTCGATCCTCTATATCCCTGGTGGCTTACTTCCTTACACTACCCTAACCCTAAACCCCATAAGACCCCATTCAAAGCCTAAACCACTCAAAGGTCCTCCACGTCAACCACGCCCCCATGCCCCAGAGCCACGCGCTCCTGGAAGAGGCGCAGCGTGCACAGGGCGTTCAGTGCTCTTCTCTCTGGGGTTTAGGGTTTTAGGGTTTAGGGTTTAGGGTTGTGCCTCCGTTCTTCCCCTTTGCGGCTATGTGAGAGACCTTTAGAAGCCGTGTGAAACATGTACCAGTTGCATGGGAAACGCGCCTCTGGGGGCTTTTCTCCTCCAGAATTCATAGCAGATTTCAGATAGGCAGAACTCCAGATATAGGATGGCCCGTTCCCAGAACTCGAAGCCAACTTTGAGGTTGGTAATCGAAACAGAAATTGCACATTGAGAGGAACGACGTAAGGCCAAACCCCTGGACCCCTGTAGTTTCCTTGGGTATCGCTGTTGCAGAGTCACATCGATGAACGATTCTGAGAAGAAGACTCTTGAGGTTGCCACCGAGCAGCGTCCCCGTCGTGCATCATGCTGCCTGGCGTGTTTTTCTTTTGTGCTTCGTGACGAAGAGCCGGTTAAGCCTTGACAATCGAATTGCTTTTGGAGGGTTCACAGGTGTTTCACTTAAACCTTCTCCATCGTCTCCCTTTGCGCAAGGCTCCGGGCCAGAAGCCCTTCGCTCAGCCTTTGAGGGGCTCGGGGTGCCTGCTGCGCGGCTCACAGGGTCGCCCTGCGCTTGGCCAGGGTTCCGCTGCATTCGTCGGCGCTGCGTTGTGGAAGTCAACCTTGCAGGGCAGGAGCTCCATGGCACGCTCCACGCGCTCAAGGGCCTGAAGGATCTACGGAAGTTAGATCTTTCACGGACCAACGTCACGCAGGCCTCACGAAGCTGCAGCACCTGCACCTCTCCCACACCCAAGTCACAGGTGTCCTCGAGCCCCTGGCGGGCCTCGCGCAGCTGAAGCGCCTGTACCTCTCCAGCACCCGAGTCACAGGTCACCTGGAGGTTCTGGCAGGCCTCACGCAGCTGCAGCGCCTGCTCCTCTCCCACACCCAAGTCACAGGTGTCCTGGAGGTTCTGGCGGGCCTCACGCAGCTGCAGTGGCTGTACCTCCCCTGCACCCGAGTCACAGGTGTCCTGGAGCCCCTGGCGGGCCTCACGCAGCTGCAGCGCCTGGACCTCTTCAGCACCCGAGTCACAGGTGTCCTGGAGCCCCTGGCGGGCCTCGCGCAGCTGCAGCGCCTGGACCTCTCCCGCACCCGAGTCACAGGTCACCTGGAGCCCCTGGCGGGCCTCACGCAGCTGCAGCGCCTGTACCTCTCCCGCACCCAAGTCACAGGTCACCTGGAGCCCCTGACAGGCCTCACGCAGCTGCAGCACCTGTACCTCGCCCACACCCAAGTCACAGGTCACCTGGAGCCCCTGGCGGGCCTCACGCAGCTGCGGCGCCTGTACCTCTCCCGCACCCGAGTCACAGGTCACCTGGAGCCCCTGGCGGGCCTCACGCAGCTGCAGCGCCTGTACCTCTACAGCACCCAAGTGACAGGTCACCTCGAGCCCCTGGCGGGCCTCACCCAGCTGCAGTGCTTGGACCTCCACAACACGAGTGTGGATGGTGAGCTCGAAACCCTCAAGGACTTGTCTGACTTGTCAGAGGCACGGCGGGTCGGGTGTGCTTGTAGGGCACTCACCCACAACAATCTATGAAGCATCGCTTTAAGTGTGCACAAGTGAGAACGGACAGCGCGGCTGAGGATGGGCAGCGTAGTATCGGGTGGGGCCGGGGACTGGCCAGGTCGACCTGAGCGCCACACGGCTCGAAGGTCAGCTCTCCGAGTCCTGGCGCGGCAAGCTGAGGAAGCTTCAGATGTTGAACTTGGCAGCCAGGCCCTCAGAGCTCCCAAGAAGTGCGAGTGAGAGTGGTGAAGTCCGCTCAGCCCGCCCAAGGGCAGCCGCGCCCGCGTCCTCCCAGAGCGAGGGGAGCTACAGGAGCTCTTCATCGATTATTTGTCGATGCGGCTGTTCCCCGCTCTGGTCACCTTGGATGCACCTTGGGCAGATCAGGCTTCATCTTGAACAAACTGTGTGGGCTGTGCAGATGTGAAGTGCCAAGTGGGTTTAGGGTCAGGAAAGCCGGGAGCCGAGGTCTCAGATTGTCCACTCGAAAGGCCTGTGCAGGACCTGCTGTGGCCGTTGGCCGCTTCAGGGCACTTGGCCCGAGTCATCGCCAAGCGTGCCGGCCTATCGGGGAACCTCCCGGACATAGACGGCCTCAGGGGTGCGACTGTTGATTTTCGCCGCCACGCCGTTTATGCAAATCCGCCACTTGCGAAATCGCTGCAGACCCTGGACCTTTCCGGCAACAGGCTCGACTCGGTGGAGTGGTTCGCCCAAACCTACACTTCCATTTCCGGCAACGGCGGCAACATGAGCATCAATCAGGGAAGCCTCGACAAAACTCTGCGGAGCGGGGGCCAAGTAGACCTTGCGGGCACGGAGGTGACGAACGGAAGAGAGCTGGTGGAGCTGCTAGCCAGTGCAGGTATGGGAAGAACATCCGACATCACCGTCACAAACACCACCGGCGGCTACGGCTGCTACAGCTTGACTCAAGACGCCCTGAGAATCACGCCATCTCTCTTTTTCCCAGAGGGCCTCTGCGGCTGCTTGCCAGGTCACCAAGGCCACGGTGCAAGCTGCAGCAAGTGTCCCCCAAACAGCTACAACAAGGACTTCAACAGCTCGAGCTGCACCTCGTGCCCGGAAGGCAGCAGCGCGGACGAAGGCGGGGCTTCCATCGAGAGCTGCCAGTGCGAAGTGGGCAGGACCGACGCCGGGAACGAGATGCATGAAGTGGGTGAGCTTGGGCGCCAGGGTGAGCTCGATGGGTTCCCCGCATGCCACAAGAGACCCCGACTGCCAAAAGGCCTGCATAAGTATTGCAACAACTAGATATACGCAGCACCGCCACCGCGTGCGTCATGCGCAGGATCCTAGAGGATGAGACGAGGAAGAAGGCTTGCCGATGCGACCCGGGGAAGGTTTTACACCAGATTCTGGGACTGAACGGCATGGTCACATCAGAACAGCGCAGACTTCAACCCTTAAAATTTTAGTTGGTTGGCATGTACACAGACTTGCGACAGGAACCATGGAGCTACAGTTTGGCGAGACGTCAGTAGGTCAGAGCCGCTATTCACTTATGTGTTGTATATGCAGCTAAAAATAACTAAGCAATAAACGTGACATATATACAGCGACAAAGCAAGCAGCATGCCAAGCTTTTCTTGGTGCACGCGGGATGCCCTTTGGCAGCCGAGGAAGACCTGCCAGGATTGCGGCGCGCTCCATCTGGACGATGTCTCCCGGGGGGTTATAGTCTTTAGGGGGTCAGCTTGGAGTCAGATCTCGGGTGATCCAAGAATTCATGAAGGAAAAGAGTTCCTGCCTGCAGTCCCTGTTAGTATTACTGTTGGCCTGCAGACGGCCTTCACAGTCAGGAGTGCGCTGTCGGCAGTATAGCGGAGACCGCGCCACCCAAGGCGAGCATGTGAGAACTTGGACGTTGTGGTGTCTGTTTGCGGTAGTTACATTTGAGTTTTTTCAAGCCAACCTTTGGGGTCTTGGGGGGCTGTCTTGAGGGGACTCGGGGTGTCCAAGCTTTTGGGGTCGGACGAAGGTTTCAGGGATTCGGTGGCTCACAGGCCAGCGTTGCCATTCTTGGGCTCGAGGCTCTTTGCATTCTTCATTTCTGGGCGCCGGTAGCATGGCAGGTGCTTCGATCCGGACACCGAGCGCTGCAATTCTTCGGGGAGCTCAGATCTGGGCTGCGCTGCTGGTTGCGTGGCGTGTTTGGCTTTGCAGCGACTGGCATCTTTGGTCATTTCTGGACTTGCTTGTGCCAGGAGCGTATATAATT